TCTCTCTGTCTCTCTCTCTGTCTCTCTCTCTCTCTGTCTCTCTCTCTCTGTGTGATCATCTGTCTTTCTCTCTCCCTCTCTGCCTCTGTCTCTCTCTCCCCCAATCCCTTCCCTCCCTTCCCTTCTTCTGTCTGTCCTTTCCCTCCATCTCTACTTTATCCTTTCCTCTTAAAGACAAATCTCCTTTTCCCTTCTAGCTCTCTGAATATTAAAGCAAGAATGCAGGGGATATACAAATAACTTTGGTTTTTTTTGCTATAGAGTAAATTTTCTGTAAGCAACAAAAAGGTCATCTATTTTACTTATGGGTGAGGAAGGAAGCAGGCTAAAGAATTGATAGTCCTTACTGTCTGGCCATAACTTTTATACAAAAGCTGTCTGATGAGCTATTTATTTAAAAGTAGGCATTGTACCCTAATGCAGTGTTCCGCTATTTGCTACTTATTGAACAGAAAATTTGAATAGACTACTTCTCATGATGGATATTAGGTTTCAGCACTTAAAATCAGTGCTGCTCCATAGATGCATAATTTAAAACACGGATGTGAGCCACAGTGTGGAATAAAGAGAAACAGACAAAACGTCATTTTAATAGTATGTTTTAATTAATTCAAGGCATAAAAATATTACTTTCCATATATAATTGCTGTTGAAATTGATATACTTTCTAATCTTTTTGTACAAAGACCTTGAAATATGGTATGTATTTTATACTTACATTATCTGTCAGTTCAAACTAGCCCATGCCATGAGTCACCAGTGGCTATGACAATTTGGTATCTCAACATCTCACTGCCTCACACTTCAATTTAATTATTAATTTTAATTTAAATTTTTTTAAATTTTCTATAAACAAACAGCACATGCCTGTCTCATGCACTCTATGTGGTACTCAGACTTAATCTATGTTTCTTTTATTAGTCCTTACCTTTGTCCATGCTGTTTCCCACCACTGAGATGGTCCTTTATCATCCCCACTACTAAATACCCTGCTTTGCAGAGCCCAGCTCAGACGAGTTTCATGATGTTTTATTTCGCACCTCCAGCAGGCAGTGGGGCAGCACACCAAATTCAGATGCATTAAAATCTCTGCAGTGAGGAGCTGGAGAGATGGCTCAGCGGTTAAGAACACAGCTTGTTCTTGCAGAAGACTGGGGTTCGAATCCCAGCACCCACATGGCAGCTAACAACTGTCTGTAACTCCAGTTCTAGGGGATCCAACAGCTTCTTCTCGTCCGAGGGCATTGCACGACATGGGTGCACTTACCTACATGCAGGCAATACACACAAAAATATTTAGAGAAAAATTTAAAATCTCTGCAGTAAAATGTAGGCATGTTCAGATTAATTGGGATAAATCAAAACTATAAAAGGTCTTTCTTAGGCTGAAAATTGGTGCCAAGTAGATTAGGTGAAGTTTGCTTCCAAATGAATCCTGGAAATCTTGGGTTCCCAGAGCTCTAAGGACCATATCGCTTTGTCTCAGGGGTTATGAACCTAGGTTCTCTCTCCAGTGAGGTCAGCTCTGGATACTTCGGTTCATAGGGAGCTTGCCCCGTGCACACCGGTAGCGCTATTTGTGAGGAAAACAGAGCATCCCTGTGGGCAGGGACTTTATTGTAATTCCATCTGTCCTTGTACCTAGCAGTTTCAGAGTGACTTTCATAGACTGAAAATAAAATATTTTGCCTTTTAAAAAATTTATGTATTTTAAAACGATTCAAAATAATGGGAAAATTCAGTTTCAAAAAGTATGTTAATTGTTTGAATGCAAATGGAGAAAAGCCCACATTCTATAGAAATACTATAATAAAGTTTTCAATAACTGTAATTTCTGTTGCCTTTTTGTGTTATGACTAAATAATATATAAAATGAAAATGGAATAACTATTATGAATAATTTTGTTGGGAAATTGTCATTTAAAAAAATTATGTTTTTTACCAACAGGGAGAAGTAGGAGACCAAGGAGATTCTGGCAAAATTGGTGAAACGGTAAGTTTGTGTCATGTTCTTACTTTCACTTTCCACCATCCGTGTTTCTTAGGAATCATGTTTCCATGGTGTGTTAGCCATAACCATGGTAGCAAGAGTTGGAAGAAAGCTTATCCACTAGATAGAAACTCCATGTGATGTTTTACTGACAAGTGAAACCCGATACAGAAGAGAGATGAAGACAAAGCAGTGAGTAGTTTCATCAAACGTAAATTACATTTATGGCCGCAGGACCATTCTCCTTTCTAATATCTAACACTCAATTTTAGTTCCACTAACTTTAGTTTAAAATTGACCTTAACGTTTTTTGTTATTAGAAAAACCACATAAACTAGGTATGGTGGCATGTGTCTGCAATTCCAACACTCAACACTCAGGAGGCTCCTGAGTTCAAGACCAACCTAGGCCACATAAAAATATACTGACTCAAAAAACAACAAAAATATAGTGTGTAGCTGATAATTTCTCTTAAGATTTAAAGACTAGGAATCAACCAAAGACAGTGAAGAATAATAGAAGACACTTGATGTCAACCTCTGACCTCTGTGCACACATATGTGTGTGCGCATCGATACACATGCACACGCGTGCACGCGCACACACACACACATCCCAAAGACACACAAAAGGAAAATATTTTATAAGTGAACCCACATTTTATATATGTGTGTGTGTGTGTTAACACAAATGAGTTTATTTACAGTATGCTAAGTTAATTGTCACAAAACAACTTAGGTAGAACTTGATAATTCAGTGAGTAAATTCCCCCACAGTCTATCTTAAGACTTAAATCAAAACAAAGAAACTTTTTCTACAAAATTGCTTTGTAAGCTTAAGTGATTTAATCATTATTTCCGATCTTATAATGAGAAAAATATTTGGATAGTCTTATTTTTGCCATTAAGTATTAATAAAAATAGATGGGGGGCGGGGCTGAAGAGATGGTTCAGAAGTTAAGAGCACTGACTGTTCTTGCAGAGGGCTTGGGTTTGATTCCCAGCACCCACATGGCAGCTAACAACTGTCCATAACTCCAGTCCCAGGGGATCTGACCTCTTCTGACTTCCATGGGCATTGCATGGCATGAGTGCACTTACACACATGTAGGCAATACACCCATATACATAAAATAAAAAAATAAATAAAATATTTTTTAAAAGTTAAAAAATATTTTTAAATTTTGTGCTTATCAGAAATGAAATTTTTATTATACTTTATAATTGGGTATGCAAAGCATTTGTACATAAATGACCTCATTTACTGTTTGCTCTAATTGGTTAAATTTGACTCCAGTATGGGGGGGTGGATTTTTTTCAATATTACTAATAATTTATTTTATATCATTTATATTTTAATATTTTAATTACATTTTTTTGTGTATTTCATACAAAACAGCTCAAAAACTCTTAAGCTTCTTTATGCCTCCATCCCCACTGGCACTCTCCCACAGCACCCCCACACACACTGGGGCCCATATACTAGGTCATCCCTGTCAGGGCCCACTGGGTTGTCAGTGTCTCCAACTGTTTCCTAGTGTAAGTCCATCCACTAAGTCTAATCAGCCTCCATAGAGTCGCTTGTTTTAGGAAGATCAGCTCTTCTTTATCCAGCAGCAATCAGTTGCCAACTTTCCTTCAGATAAGATTGAGGCCTATTGTTCATTTTCCCAGTTCCATGCTGGGTTATTGTCTGCCTGAGTTTGCATGGGACCTGTGTATGCTGACACCATTGCCATAGAATCATATAGGCAGGTTCCCAGGAGCTTGTAGGACTCCGTTTCTTCCCTGGCTTTTACAATCTTCCCACCCCCTCTTTTGTGATGGTCCCTAAGCCTTGGATGGGAGAAGTTTAATAAAGTGATCCTGTCCAAGGACCAGCATTCAGCAGACTCTTGCTCTGTACACTTTGGCTATTTGTGACCTTTTGTGTTCCTGGCCCTCCGCTGCATGAGGAGCTTCATTATTGAAAACTGAGAGATTCATTAGTGGACTCTTCATTATTCCTGGTCTATGTTCCATGAGACTTAGGTGTAGAGGTTGTACTGTAGATGTGTCATTTAGGCCTGGGCAATTCATAGACCATGTCCATGTGTGATCAGTTGTGATACTTGGTAGCAGTCTCTGACTGGTGTGAAATGAGCTTCTTTGATGAGAGATTATAACCTGTTCATTTTTTTAATCCATGGAAAAGTACAGAAGAATGTTACTGAAAGACCTAAAACATCCTTTAGTATATGAAAGATACAACACAATAATGGACGTAAAAACTCAATGTTGATAAACAATTCTGACCATATTAACTTATTAATTTAATCTCAAAATAATATCAATATAATTTTTCATGGCAACTAAAAATCTAGTTCTAAAATTCATGAGTAAATATATAATGATAATCAAAACAAAATTTTAAAATACAAAGAAAATAATTTTCTATGTCCAAAGTTTAAATATATTAATGTGTAAAATTAAAATTGTGTGGAATTGACTAAGGAATGAGCAACTATATCAATGTAATTAAATAGATGGTACAAAAACTGTTCGAGGGATATTTGTGAAATTAGACCATGATAAATGAAGCATTTCATCTCATTGGATTAATGACAGACTATGCAATGAATGATTTTCAGGCAATTATCTAACCGTTTTGGGGAAAAGTAGTTCTGTGCAGCAATTATATTCAGTTCTGGATGGATTGATTGTCTAAATGTACTGTGGAAACAGTAGAAGAAAATGTGATTATCATAATGTCCTTGAAACAGAGATGCTCTTAGATATGACATCAAATATTGATAAATTTGACTGCATCAACTATTGGGACTTCTGATTGCTAAAATATAGTGATAAGAAACTTAAAATGAGGTTATTTTAGGAGAAAATATTGCAATTTAAGCACAAAGGGTTTCATCAGAAATATATAAATTCCTAAAAATGCTGCTTAAAATTTAAAATGCACACAATGAATTTTCCAGGTACAATGGGGGCTCTACCGTAAAAGGCATCATGGCTGGGAATTAAGATGTTGGTTACAAAAGAGAGAAGCAGCTTTGTTTATACCATGATTATACAACTGAACTTTCTTACACTTACTTTATTTTGAAATAACATGTTCACGTCTTCATATTCCTTTCCTGTAATCCCTTAGTTAACAACAAATATGTGCGTGTAGAAAAATTCTAACAACGTAGAAGATTAAATGGTACATTCTAAATGTCGACAAAGTTAGGGTCAACACTTTGAACCAACTTGAATTGATTTTTTTGAGTTCCTGAGAAAAGGTTTATGTGTTTTGTTGTATGTTTTTGTTGCTATTGTTGAAGAATAATTTAAGTGTAGAAAAAGCAAAGCAATGTATGCATGATTTCTTTTCTAAAGTCCAACTTAAGAATAAAAACAAGAGGGCTGGAGAGATGGCTCAGCAGTTAAGAACACTGACTGTTCTTGCAGCAGACAGAGGTTCGAATCCCAGCACCCACATGGTAACTAACAACTGTTCATAATTCCAGTTCCAGGGGATCTGACAGCCTCTTCTGTCCTCCGTGGGCATTGCACAACACAAGTGCCCTTATGTACATGCAGGTATAATACTCATACACATAAAATAAAAATAATAAATAAAATATTTATTTATTATTTTTTATTGTCACTAAGTCAGTAATTTAAACTTTGGATCTGCAAAAACAATAAAAATTAAAATTAAAACATAATAATGTGAAGCAAACCAACTTAAAAAAATGATTCTTGCACATGAACTGTCACATGTTTAATATGTGTTTTTTTAGAGAGCCTCCAGTCTTACTGATTTCAAACACCCTTTTCTTCTGTGTATTGATTTTAAGACAGCCATCATTTAGGTATCAGACTCTAGGTTAATGTACTTTGTACTTAGTTGTGCTGTGATATTTTTCATTATTTTAGGATGCCAACCTGAGACCTGTAATAAAATATGTAATGGGGATGAAAGCTGGGGAGGAGGATCTACTGCTGTACAGCTAATAAATCATAACAGATTAACAGGCAAAATAAATAAAATATTCAAAATAAGAATAAAAACAAGAAAGAAATTTTTTTTTAAAAGCTAAAAAAATAGACAGAGGGTAAGTCCTTAAAATGTCATAGTTACTTCTAGTTAATCCAACTAACGAAAGGTAAGCTTTCTTCTTGTTTCTGCTGAGAAAAGACAGGTCAATATAGTACTTATCAAACTCTTCAAAATGACTTATCAAATAAAATTGTAACATAGATCTCAAAGATCAGTCAAAGAAATTAAATGATGGCATTTGAGTGTCAAATTGCTTAGGGTGTGTATGTGTGTGTGTGTGTGTGTGTGTGTGTGTGTGTGTGCGTGTGCACACTGGAGTTAGTATTCAAAGTTAAGATACCAACAAATAACATCTTTTCACATTTTACATACTACATTTTCAAGTGTATTTGCTTAATTGTGCTGGACTAGTTCCACACAGTGTAAGAACTGATGGATGCCAGTGCTGTCCAAAGAATGGGCTGTCTCAGCAGATGCTACACTTATGTCACTGGAAGGGGAATAATATTTACTGATCACTTGCTGTGTGCCAGACCTCAGCCAATCCTAAACGGTGATTTGTACTGTGGCACTTCATTTAATGCTCAGGGTTGTTTTTCCAGCTTTCACAATTAGGAAAATGAAGGATCAGAAGTGACTGGTTCAAAGTCACATAACTAAACTGAAATTTAACCCAGATTTCTAAGTTCAAGTTCCTAATCTCCATACCATACCATGCTTACTGTAATATTACAGAACAGTCATTTGATTTCCAGATTTTATTTTATATAGTTGCATTTCGTGACTTCAGCCTTGAAAATGTGAGATTTCCCAGCTTACAGTAGCAGCTAATTTTCAACTTGACTGAACTTTTTTAGTCTCTTAATTGCCTTTACTGAACAATATTTTTCTTTCACTAGTCATACTAATTAGAACCCACTTCATGGTCGAGTACGCCAAGCACCGCAGTCCATATACATTTT